TTCAACAGTTTCATTTACCAGTCCTGACCAGCACGCACGCTGTCACCGTGTACACGGACTAAAACTTCTAGTGAAGTTATGGATGTTATATTATGACATGTTAGAACAGTTGCAACATTTTGGTACGTGTGCTTATTCACTTTCTCGCCAAGTGCTGGATGAGAAAAGTAAAGGACTGTCATGTCTATTCACTAAATATGGAGTTAGAGCCAGCAGCCAATTAGCTTTAGATAATATAGATTTATTTATATTTAGCATGCACACTAAAGTGATTTGATCTTCTCAATAAACCCTCAGAAAGAAAGACAATACATGTATTCCCCCAAAAAACTATTTCTTCAAGGTAAATTAACTTTTACGTTAATTGTCAGTTATTAACATAATTTATTTGTATTATTCAACACTATACTACTAAAATGACTATGTAAAAAAGCCTTTGTCCTGAGCATGAACTCAAATCAGTCCCTGCTCGTTCTGTTCTCTCAGACAAAAGTTGATGGCAGATTTCTTTTTTAAATGAAAGTAGAGTCCCAGGCAGAGACTGCAACTTTTTGGCCAATCCTGAGAGCAAGATGTCAGTGGGACTGCAGTCAGTTTGTTGCTGTGCCTTGTCAACTTGCAAAGTTGTAGATACCATGCAGTTCTTGCTGCGACAGTCGTAATGTGGGTAAAACGTTGAGAGTGGATGACAAGTAAACGACCTACTGAAAAATAAGTGGAGTCTGTTCAAAGATGTCAACAGTTTATTAGTCAAGATTCAATTCAGTTACATACTTGTCAGTTTGTGTACTTTGATTGTATTAATAAAGCAAATGGAAATAAGTGATTATTATATTGGTTTTAATGATTAGGTTGTTATGAATGTGGTCATTCATAAAGTAATTCTATGGAACAAAAATTTTATACCCACAAAGATACATTGGGAATTATTATTGTTATGTAATCATAGCACCCTAAATTGTGACAGATTTCCCAGCCCTATCATCAATAGGGATGCAACGATTACAGATTATTGTCAGAGAAATAATCACGGTTTCACGATTATGCATTAATTTTCACTAGTAATAACTTAAGTTGATTTTTAATATTAAATTACATTAACAATTGTGTTTCTATAATATGTAAGTATTATTACTATAAGAGGAATATTAACTTCATTTATTCCCCAGGGGAAACTGTTAATAAGAGGGAAATAAACTGAATTGTTGTCATCAACTCTCATCTAGACATCATTCATGCAGTGTTATTAATAACTGAAATGCAGGTAATTGGTAGCCTACAGTCCTGAAAGTCTAAAAGCTCCTGATGTTATGTAGTGTTTTACACCTGGCAACATTTTTTCAACACAGATGTAACGTTAAATGTTCAGTGACGGAAGGTATTGAAAGGACTATGTTCTTCCATAAAGAACCTTTCAGAAAAGAAGCGATTTGCGCTGGGTTCAGCACAAAAGTACTTCGACTGCGGCATGGCGTGCGGTGCGCGATCCTCTACACAGCAACAAAGTGCCCTAGCGCGGCGCAAGTCGCTGAAATAATGGGCCTCTTTCTGTGCGGTGGGTCTGAAAGGTTACATGCTGCTTTCTTTGTTTACGTTGTACTGAAAGCTCGACTCTCACCGCTACGGCATCGATTGTAAGTGACACGTTCAGGTTTAATTCCCTATACCAACTAAGGTGGGTCTCTGACATTGACAGCTTTGTGTTGGAGAGATTTGTGCAGCGCTGTTCATGAGAGACGGAGAGAGTGAGCGAGAGATGTTGCGCGAATATATACACTGTAGAAACAGTTACACCTTTAGAAGAGCAGTTGATATTCAGTCCTCGTATAATTATTAGTGTGCAATTATCTGATTAATCCTCTGTCAGTACCACAATTTCCACGGACGGTGTTTATACTGTATGTGCAGTCATTATTTAAAAAAGGCCTAACAAAATTAGCCGAGTGTTATATAAAAAAATCTAAACAACACTAACAAGTATGTGAAATATGTTTAACAAAAAGAAAATGAAGAAAGGAAAGAAAATGCTCGCAAAGGAGGTATTGGGTGTGTAATTGCTCTAGTTTTAGTATAGTGAAAATGGTGTAACTGATCCATACAGGCCAGTAACATTGGAAGGTCAAGACAAGTCATTTTAAAACTCCTTTTATTCACCGGCAGTCTTTGTACTCTGCAACTTGGTTTTTATTAGAGCACAGAGTAATAATAAATGACTGTTGCTGTTTTTCACAGGTGAAAGTCTCACTTTCACCTCCACCCCACACACAGTGAAGAGAGGAAGACCAGTGGATAATATGTTTTTGGCAGTAAGGATGCTGTCCATTTAAAACCTGAAACACTTTTCAACTCTCTAACAGTTAACAAATACAGAAGGATGCAGCCTTACCCACACTATATAGTATGAGGTGTTACTTTTTGTATGCTCTTGTTTTTCAGATGGAGGTTCTGACCCCTGCGCTGAGTTAGAGATAAGGAGAACTCACTGATGGTGAGTTAAATTGCTTTAATTATGAAATATACAAAAACTCCTGCCTTTGTTTCATACTTTAACTCAGTCAAAAGACAAGTAGAGTACTACTTTACTCTTACTGTAAGTGTATGTGTACTTTTGTTTGAGTGTTTGTTTGTAACTCTTTTCTAATTTATGATGGTCAGTGTTGCTAGTTATTACTCCTTTAAAGTATTACTTTACTTATTACTGGGTGGGCAATATTAGATTGTGGACGATTAAAATGTCTCCACGATCTATCTTTTCAGAGAGATCATTACTGTCGTGCTACAGATCACAATCTATTTAGTTCTGTCTGCGTCCTCTGCTGTCTACTAAGGCAACACAGTAACTGTTGGGCCTCATAAAATAACATTAAAGTTCCCCGTGTCCCCCAGCTACTCTGTCTCAACTCTCTGTGATTTACGGAGGTTGCTGATGAACAGATGTGTTACTTGTTGCTAAAGTAACTGCTAAGTGCCATTAAGTAGCTGCTGTGATCTTATAAGCTCAGTTAGCCTAGTGGTCGTAGCTGACTCAGCCCGGACTGGGAGCTCGCAGCACCTGGGAGTGTTTTGTGTTTAACGTTACACCTCTACTCAGGCACTGGAGGTTTTAGGCCTCAGCAAGCGGCGCTGGTTTGGGCACCAGAACAGGAGCCAAGCGTGCAACGACACCGCGCTCAGCAGCCTCCCAGTAAACACTGTATGAACGGGACCGAACACAGACTTTGGACAAGTTTGTGCAGCGGTGTTCACGAGAGAGAAAGAGAGCGCGAGCCAGGAGGTGCTGCACGAATATTTGCTCCTCAATACAGCTCCTCGGTCAAACATGATTTTAAATATGCCTAGTAAAAAATTTTTAAATTAATGTGGTGGTCAGCGTTGACAATTAACCAAATTATAGGCTAATTATGGGAAACACTGCTTTCACTACCACCCTGCCTTTGCCCCCAAACAAAGCATCTCTCCCGAGTTATTAACTAATATCGTATTCACAACAGCGAGTATGCTATGGTCTTTACATACGGTACCGCTGAGCTGCCGCACAGTCGTGGATTCATGTCAAGGATGGTGCGTTTAGTAACGAGTTTTTTAGAAAAGTAACTACACTTCACTTTACAATTACACTACTAGTTACAGGGAAAAGTAATATTATTACAGTAAAGCGTTACTGCCCAACACTGATGATGGTAAATATTAAATGTGTTTTTGTGACCTTTAACAATTAACCTTTTTTGTCCCATGGTAAGAGAGTTGCAATCATCTGTCAGTTCTTGGTTGTCACATTTAATTAAAGCACTTTTAAAAATCCATTATACCTGAGGTTTCATCGACTAATAGGAAATGATGTTTGTCTGTTCCTGTTGTAGATGAGACCCCCAGGCTTCCACAGAAGAACAAAGTCAAACATGAGAGAGCAAGAGAGCATGGAGTGAGGTAGAGAGAACTGCGATGTAGAGTGCCTGGAGAAAAGGCCTTGGCTCAAGGGTCATGGAAAGATGTCAAACTTGTGTACAACACAATTGTGACCCTTAGACAAAGCGGCGCTTCACGTATTCTTAAGTATTCAAAAGCCAAATGTTTTTGCCATTTACAGTCTCCTACTGAACTACTGATTGATAATAATCTGAAATTAATCTATCCTGGACCATATAGTGTCAGATGATGTACTGTAAAAAGGCAAGACTAGCCACAATAAGCTAGTGTTCAGCGTTCCTAAAACTCAAAACCAGTTGTAAAAAATTCAAAGGATTATTTTGTTTTCATTGTACTTGCAAGACAGTGTTCCTTGTTTTCAATTGATTGTCTGATAATATCAATTTTCTTCATTGGCCCTCACTTTAATTGGTGAATTAATAGTAGTTATGATACAGTACACTTTACTGTATTTTTGAGTTGTACAAGAGGCAATAGTTTGTTTCTGGAATAATTTATTTCTGTTTATGCTTAATAACAATGGATTTGGGGTGGTGATAGCG